ATGTACCTTGGTTGCGGGCACATCCCCAGTAGGGGTGTGCAGGAGGCAGCTGATTAATGTTTCTCTCTCTCTCATCGATGTTTCTGACTATCCCTCTCTCTTTCTCTCTCTGTAAAAAAAAACACAATAAAATATATTTTAAAAAGAAGGGAAGACTAAGAGGTTTAATGACTTGCTGAAGGTGACACCAAGCTTGTAGCAGAGATGGGAATCAAACCCAGTTCTATCCAGCTTAAAAACTCATGTTCTTTCCTTTGAGACATACATTTTAAAAATTGTTCACATCTGCAGGAGCTACCAAAACATTGAAAGATTGAATTATAGTAAAAGAGTAAAAGAAATGCCACACAAGATTAGTTGAATTTGATCTGACTAATGTAAGGAGTGACATGGGGTTAAGTACCTGCTCTGTCACTAATTATTAGTTTTGTGATCTCTGGCAAGTTACATAACTTTTCTGAGCCCAGGTTTCTCTGGTTGTTAAATGAGGATAATCCTAGTTATAAAGACAAGATGAAACAATACAAAATTCCTGACACATAGAACACATTGGATAAGATATGATTATTGAAAGTGTCTGGCTAGGAAACAAATGGGTCACCTCTCTGTGTTGTTTACACCTTAGCTTTTCTTTCTTTGGCTCATGGGACATCCAAGGTCTCTAGAGGCTCAGGCAAAGATCATTTAAAGGACTTAGTTTCAAAAAGTTTGTCTAGAAAATACTTTTGCCCGAGGATAAGCCATTTTTAGGAAGCTACTTGAGTTTTCCCCCATTACATCCTGTTCCCAGCTCTCCAAGAGAAGTGAAACTAAGGAGAGAAAAACAGAATTGAAAAAGGAAAAAAAAAGATCAGGTAACTGAACATCAGAGGCACCCACAGAGCCCTTTTATTGCCTGTAGCTGCATAACAGTGTCTGAGGTTAAAAACTGTACTTCCCAAAATTTTACAAAATAAGCTTTTTCTTGTTTAAAAAAACCTACCCCCGACACACACATGCCATTGAGAGGCAATAATAAAAGTATGAGCTTTGGCCCTGACTGGTTTGGCTCAGTGGATAGAGCGTCGGCCTGCGGACTGAAGGGTCCCCGGTTCGATTCCAGTCAAGGGCATGTACCTTGGTTGCGGGCACATCCCCAGTAGGAGGTGTGCAGGAGGCAGGTGATCGATGTTTCTCTCTCATCGATATTTCTAACTATCCCTCTCCCTTCCTCTCTGTAAAAAAATCAAAATATATATTTTTTTAAAAAGTATGAGGTTTGAAGTTAGAGAAAGCCTTGGTTTTAATCTTCGGTACTTTAATAGCCTTTGTTTTATCATTTTTTTAAAAAAATATGTTTTTATTGATTTCAGAGAGAGAGGAAAGGTACAGGATAGATAGAGAGAGAGAAACATCAATGATGAGAGAGAATCATCTATGGTTGCCTCCTGCAGGCTCCCTCCTGGGGATCAAACCTGAAACCCCGGGCAAGTGAGGTAATATTGTTCAGTGTTTGATACATTGTAGACATTGAATACATGTTCAGTCCTTCCCCTTCCATACATGGAAGATGACTCTTCTTGAAGACTCAAGTTGCCCCTTAATGTTTTGCTTTCTAGGCTAACCTCCCCTGATTATTTTATCCTTTTTTTTTAAAAATGTCTTTCTTTTTATTGATATTAGAGAGAGGGGAAGGGAGAAGGAAATAGAAACATCAATGAGAGAGAAAAATCAGCATCGATTGATCGGCTGCCTCCTGCACACCCCCCTGCTGAGGATCAAGCCTGCAACCCGGGCATGTGCCCTGACAGGGAATCGAAACAGCAACCTCTTGGTGCATAGGTTGATGCTCAACCACTGAACCACACCAGCCAGGCTCTTTTATCTTTTCAATTCTCCTTTATTTAAATCATTGTTCTCTGAATTTTCAAAAAAATGCTTTCATATTAAAAATTTTGAGATAAATTGGACAAAGGGATTCTCTGAGATCTGAATAGTTCAAAATCTAGCAGAAGGATCTATGTTGTAGGAAAGCTTTAAATTCATAGGCTGCGTTACATTGCATATAAACAAACCTTTCTACTGGGTTCAGTTTTTGTAGCCCTGCTTCCTATAAGGCATACAATAGATTAATTGACTTTTGAGTCTTCCTGCCCTAACCAAGTAAAGTTTCTGGAAAGTGTTATAAAGTATAGCTGAAGGCCCTAGATGGTAGCAATTAAGAAACACTGAGGTACATAGATAAAATGAAGTATGGCATTTATTCCTTTAGAACTTTTTAAAAATATATTTTTATTGATTTCAGAGAGGAAGAATAGAGAGATGGAAACATCAATGATGAGAGAGAATCATTGATCGGCTGTCTCCTGCACGCCCCTCCCCCCCCATTGGGGATCAGGCCCACATTGGGGATCAGGCCCACATTGGGGATCGGACCCATAACCCAGGCATGTGCCCTTGACTGGAATCGAACCTGGGACCCTTAAGTCTAAGGCTGATGCTCTATCCACTGAGCCAAACCAGCTAGGGCCCTTTAGAACTTTTGAGGATTGAGTACCGAGTTTTCCAGCCTAAAAACTCAAGAAAAGATGTATTCAGAGATGATGGTAGACTCAAAACTAGTGACTACAAAAAGTTAATATTAGCAGTTGGTGGGAAGGGGTGGAGGTTACCACCAGTAAAATAGCAAACAAATAAGATGTTGAATGAAGCATTTAGTCTGTTGATTATAAGGTCAGATTTTTTTTTCTATTCCAAGCAGTGAAAATAGGCACTGCCATTTACAGTTCCTCTCATAGGAGTAAATGTTTAGTTAAGGATACTTAGAATATGATTAGCAGTTTTAATTGTCAGAAAGGAAGGGAGTATGTGCTCTAGGATATAAGTAGGTCATTTAGCTCACTGTATACTATAACATCTGACATGAGGCTTTTTAATAAACAGGAAGCTTTCTGTTTGAAATTCTGAACTCTTAGGAAGTCTGTGAGGGTCAAAGTAAATTTCCTTCTTCGTCTGTGTACTTCACAATTGGACTTAGTCCAAACACTTTTTAAAACTGTCAAAATTTTACATTTGCAGAATGTCTTTGAAGTAGTATATATTTTTTAAAAATATATTTTATTGATTTTTTACAGAGAGGAAGGGAGAAGGATAGAGAGTTAGAAACATCGATGAGAGAGAAACATCGATCACCTGCCTCCTGCACACCTCCTACTGGGGATGTGCCCGCAACCCAGGTACATGCCCTTGACTGGAATCAAACCTGGGACCCTTCAGTCCACAGACTGACGCTCTATCCATTGAGCCAAACCGGTCAGGGCTGAAGTAGTATATTTTTATGCCAAACCAGGTTTTCAAAGTGTGGTCCCTAGACCGGCAATATCAACATCACCTGGTAACTTGTTAGAAATGCAGATTCCTAACACAAATCCCAGATTGGGGTTCTGGCCCAGCAGTCTAGTTTAATAAGCAAGCCCTCCAGGTGATTCTGATGCATACTGAAGTTTGAGACCCCTTGCCTTAAAATTACAGAAGATAGAAACTGTGGAAATATTATATAAGGAGAACATTTTGTGTTATTTAGAATGTCACACTGATTTTAGGGAATATAATTATGTATTTTGGGTGGAGAAGTATTGTTTGCTTCTCACATGTGCCCTGACCAGAAATCAAACCAGTGACCTTTCAGTGCACGGGAGGACGCTCAACCTACTGAGCCACACTTGCCAGGGGGGAATATAAATTTTTTACTGTTCTCAGTACACCATAGAACCTTTTAATTGCTGTTCATTACCTACACACACTACCCCCATCTCTATTAGTATTCCTATCATAGCACTTAACTATACTTCATTGCTAACGTCATTAACTGAGAACTCCAATATATAAACATAGTGAAGTTGGGGACTATATCTGACTTGTTCTGTTGTGTCTCCTATACTTTATAGCAGGAGTGGGGAACCATTTTTCTGCCAAGGGCCACTTGGATATTTAGAACATCATTTGTGGACCATATAAAATTATCAACTTAAAAATTAGCTTGCTATATTTGGTCAAACATTTAATAACTCACCCCTAATGCCTTGGCAGGGCCAGACCAAATGATTTCATGGGCCGGACATTCCCCACCTCTGCTTTATAGGATAGGTGCCTGGCCTTTAGTAAGTCTCGCATATAGGTTAATGATTATACCTGTTTCTCTCCTTTCATCTGCCTTTTTTTAAAGAAACACTCAAATGCTTGCAAAGGATGGGGTGGATGGATGGAGTTCCCTAATGATAGGAAATAATTTTGGATGCCAAGGTTCTATCTGATGAAACTGTCCTAACCTGCGAATTGAAAATACATTGGTGCATTTTTCCTTTAAGACATTGACTGAATTTGGGCTAGCTAATGTCGATACTTCTCAAGAAATGGGCTTTAATTAGCATGTGTACATATGTTATTTTATTCTGTTTTTATAGCAGCCTCATGAAGTAGCTATCACCTCCATTTTATACATGAGGAAACTAAAAATCAGAGCAATTAAATAACTTGCAAAGCTCACACAATTAGTGAGTAACTGTAAGAACCAGGTCTTTCAAACTCTTAAGGAGTACTACGTCCCTGGAATTTTAACAGGACTCTCCATTGTATATTTAAATTATTGATTTTTATTTTTTCATCAAGATACGACTTTGTACTTTTTCTTGATGCAGATTTTTATTTTTGCTTTTTTAGTTCATTTATCCTTTTTTCCTCATCTCTCCCCATTAATGTTGTTAAATCTCTTTATTCTAAGAAACATTTAAATGTCTCTAATGTAGACATTCAGGTGGGGTTTAAAGAGCAAACTGCTCTTACTAGGAGCAGGCTTTGGGTTTTCTGATCAAGTTAAGCTTTGGTGCTTTTAGTTATAGCACATTCATCTGAACTATTTGGTGTCATTACATGGTACTCCATGTTACTGCTTTATGCAGACTTAGAAATTTACCTTTATTCACCAGAGCAAAACTCAGTTAAATTCTGTTTCTTTTATTCAGAAATTGAGAAGATTCAGAAAGGGCTTTCAAAAAAGGACGATGAGGAGAATTACTTGGATTTATTTTCTCATAAGAACATGAAGCTGAAGGAGCGGGTACTGATACCTGTCAAGCAGTATCCCAAGGTAAGACAAAAAGTGCCTCATTTCTCTGAGTTGTCTTTGTAGGAGTGAGTCATGAGCTCTAATAACGACTTCCACAGACTGTGGTGCATCAGAAACTTAAGCCTTTGAATCTTCTCTTCCATACTGTGTACTTGTTTCTGGCAATTGAAACAAGTAAGTCCATAACTGATTGCATAGCTATAGCCAGGAAAGAAATGCAGTCATCTTATTAAAAAGGGTTTCTCAAATGTTTGTTCCGGCTCAAAGTTCAAAGAAAAAAAATGAAACCTAAAGAGTTATTCTGTCAAAAGATTTCTTGACATGAAATCAAAATGAAGGAAGTTATAGCATAAATCCTTGAAGAGGTGGTTAACTGTATTTTTTACTCAAAGTTTTACTTTTAAAAAAATGCTTTCTCGCCCTAACCGGTTTGGCTCAGTGGATAGAGCGTCGGCCTGCGGACTAAAGGGTCCCAGGCTCGATTCTGGTCAAGGGCATGTACCTTGGTTGCAGGCACATCCCCAGTAGGGGGCATGCAGGAGGCAGCTGATCAATGTTTCTCTCTCGTCGATGTTTCTAACTCTATCCCTCTCCCTTCCTCTCTGTAAAAAATCAATAAAATATATTTTTTAAAAAATTAAAAAATGCTTTCTCCACCTACTCCTTTTTCCTTTTTTCAGGAAAGCAATTAGTTATATTTAGTTTACAAAAAAAAAGAAAAAGTACTAAACAAAGATTCCATGTGTGTGTTCTGAGGTGACTTCCTTAAAAATGTTTATGTATGTTAAAGTACTAGGGGTTGCAGTGTGATATTACATCTGAAATCCCAAAATCTACTCTAGGAACTCCCACTTTCATAACCTTAGGCTAATCACTTCATCAGTACAACCTCAGTATATCCTTTGGTAAAATGGGAATGAAACTCTACCTGTTTTATAGGGTTGTTGAGATCAAATGAGATAGTACATGTGGAAATATTTCATAGGAGTATGAATATTTAGAAATCTCTTTTTATTTTCTGTCAGTTCAATTTTGTGGGGAAGATCCTTGGACCACAAGGGAACACTATCAAAAGACTGCAAGAAGAGACTGGTGCAAAGATCTCTGTGTTGGGCAAGGGCTCGATGAGAGACAAAGCCAAGGTAAGTTCACTTAGTGAAGCAAGAAGACACCCTAATGCAAGCATGTCAAACTCACAGGCTAACATGGGCCAAATAAACAAGGTGTAAGTTTATGTGTGCTGCAAAAAAAAACAAAAGCTTTGATTTTCATAGAAATGTAGGTTTATTTCGATAGAGACATGCTGAATACAAAGGGCTGAAATAAATGAGTAATCATTAACATAAAATAATAGAACATTTTAATAAAAGTTAATATTTTTTCTTGAACAGTAACTTACCAGACACAGAATAATTGCTCAAATTAATAAGCGTAACGCAAATAAACCTATTTTTCTTGTTCTCTGAAAGCGAAATATTTCCTGTTGCACACACCAAACAACTCAGTACGAGACTAATGACGTGGCAATTGGCTGCTAAAATATTCACTGCTAGTATTAGTGGAGAGAAATGGTGAGCCTGCATGTGAGGCACGTAAGCAAAATGAATGCAACACGATTATAGTAATCAGTCATTAGCGAATGTTGTAGTTCATTAAAAATTACATATAACAGGATATTATAAAAATCAAGTTACGAAATTTTTATTAAAATGTTTCTTACATATTGTTATATTGGCTGGGCCGCAAAAATATTCATTAATGGGCCGCAAGTTTGACATGCTTGCCCTGATGCCGCCTTGTAGCCCAGGGTCCAGTCTGAATGCCTTATGGAAACTAGCACTTGTATATGTACAGAATATGACTCCTTTAAATTTGTATTGGGCCCTAACCAGTTTGGCTCAGTGGATAGAGAGTCCCTGTGGACTCAAGGGTCCCAGGTTCGATTCCTGTCAAGGGCATGTACCTTGGTTGCAGGCACATACCCAGTAGGGAGTGTGCAGGAGGCAGCTGATCGATGTTTCTCTCTCATCGATGTTTCTAACTCTTTATCCCTCTCCCTTCCTCTCTGTAAAAAAAAAATCAATAAAAAATATATTAAAAAAAATTTGTATTGGATGTAAGAGATTATATAGATCAAGTTAGTTTGTAACCCTGAAAGAGTCTAGGTGTGCCCAGGTGATTGTTTTTTTTCTGACTTTTGACTGCATAGTAATGGAAACAGCAGTGGCAACTATGGCATTAGAAAGCTTATCTATGAAAATTTGGAAGGGATGCAGTACTGAAACTTACCCAGACTAAAAACACATTCTCTTTCCAGTAGCATGGAAAAGTGAGAGCAGTAGTGTTATACATGCAGGCAACACTGAGGATTAGTTGTCTGGTGTGTTGTTGTTTTTTATAGCCAGCTCGAATTCGAGGCCTGCTAAAAGAAGGTATTCCAACAGGAGCCATGAGTAATCCTGACAACAATACCTAACGCTTATTTATTTTTTGTGTCATAGCCCAATGCGTGTTGTATTCTTTGTAAGTGCCAAAAAACTTCCCACCAAAACAGAATATTCCTAGCCTTCTAGGGTCAGGTTTTAGATGAGACATACATGCTACAGCCTAAAAACTTACTCTTTCAGTCCTCCTTTTATGCAGCCTAATTGATGAACATTGTTCTCTCAGACCCTCTTCTTTTGTCCACTCTCATTTCTCATTAGAAGAATCCAGTTAGGGCTGAAGTATGATATTCTAGCTAATGAAATTTACATGAGATTTTCTTCTCTCTATCCTAATTTCTTTCCTCCCCAGAACACCCCAGGCCATGTAAGCACATAGGAAGGGCTGGTGATTACCAGCTCTACCTGGAATTTAAAAGCACATGCTTGGCAATGAATAAATGAGTCAATCAAGGGTTGGCAAACAGTGTAGAGACTCCTCAAAAAATTAAAAATAGAACTGCCATGCAATATTGTAATTTCACTTCTGGGTATTTATCCAAAGAAAACAAAAACACTAATTTGAAAAGATATATGCAGTCCTATGTTCAATGTAGCATTACTAATAATAGCCAAGATATGGAAGCAACCTAGATGTACATCAGTAGATGAATGGATAGTGGGTGCGTGCTGGAATATTATTCCTCAATTAAAAGAAAAAGAATGAAATCTTGCCATTTGAACAGCATGGATGAACAGAGGGTATTATCCTAAGTGAAATAAGTCAGACAGAAAAAGACAAATGTTGTATGATCTCATTTATATGATTCTAAAAACACAAAATAAATGAATAAACGAAACAAACACTCATTTAGAGAAGAAGCTGATGGTTGCCAAAGGGAAGGGGTGGGGAATGAGAATAAAAATAAATTAATTAAACTTTATTTTATTGTGCTTTTTCTAGCCACTTTTTTTGTTTGTTTGTCAAAAAAATTACTAAACATACAGAAATTATAGAATGTGACCCATAGCCAATGAAGAAAATCAGTTGATAGAAAGAGATCTGAGCCCTAGCCAGTTTGGCTCAGTGGATAGAATGTCAGCCTGCGGACTGAAAGGTCCTGGGTTGTGGGCTCGATCCCCAGTAGGGGGCGTGCAGGAGGCAGCCGATTAATGATTCTTTCATTGATGTTTCTATCTCTCTCTCCCTCTTCCTTATTTTCTTCTCTGAAATCAATAAAATATATTTTTTAAAAACAAGAAAGAAAGAAACCTGGAAATAATAATTTGCAGACAAGACTTTAAAATAGTTATTATAAATATAATAAATTTGGCCCTAACCGGTTTGGCTCAGTGGATAGAGCATCGGCCTACGGACTGAAAGGTCCCAGGTTCGATTCCAGTCAAGGGCATGTACCTTGGTTGCAGACACATCCCCAGTAGGAGGTGTGTAGGAGGCAGCTGGTCGATGTTTCTCTCTCATCGATGTTTCTAACTCTCTATCCCTCTCCCTTCCTCTCTGTAAAAAATCAATAAACTACATTTAAAAATATATATATAATAAATTTGTTGAAAGATGTAGAGAAAAAATAATTAGGAGAGAGATGGAATGTATAGAAAATGAAAATGTAATAGCTGAAATGCAAATTTCACTGGATGAGCATAATACAATGTAAGACACTGAAAAAGAAAAAAGAGGGTTGTAAATCAGAGAACTTAAAGGCAGGACTATTCAGGCCAAAGTAAGAAGATAAAAAGGACTGAAAGAAAATGAACAGAGTCTTAGTTGCCTGTGGAACATTATTGTGCAATCTAACATTTGTGCAATTGTAGTTCTAAGATGGGAGTTGGGCAGAAAACAATTTAAGGAAAAAGTTAAAAAGAAATAAATGTTTGGCAATGAATCAGTGATTGGCAAACACCTGTTATCTGAATGGAGACTGGAATTAATTTGTCTTTTTTATACCTTCTAATAGCTCCACCAGGGATTTAAAATAATAGTTAACTTTTGGCAGCAAGACCAATTGTAGGTTTAGCAGGTTGTATAAATTACTATTCTCCAGAGCTTGTTTTACTTTTTTCTTATGCTTTACTGTGTTCCTTAGATGTTACAGTTATTTCTTGCTGTTTCTTTGACCTTGAAGTTAAAGGTGTCATTAAGTACCTAGTCTGTGATGTGATGTTTTGTTTTCGTTTTTCCACAGGAGGAAGAGCTGCGCAAAGGTGGAGACCCCAAATATGCCCATTTGAATATGGATCTGCATGTCTTCATTGAAGTCTTTGGACCTCCGTGTGAGGCTTATGCTCTTATGGCACATGCTATGGAGGAAGTCAAGAAGTTTCTAGTACCGGTAAGGAAATCTATATCCTGTATCTTTTGAGCAAGAGAGAACTGGATTTTGTGCTGTTGCTAAGGCAGGGGTTCTTAACCAGGGTCTCTGCATATCAGTATCTTAGGTCCACAGCATGTTTGGCATTCTAACGTCTGATTAACAAAGATTTAACAGTTTCTTCACTGAGCTAAGTATTTTGGTACTAGTGTGGAACCAGGCGATTATAGGAAAGTGACTTAAGGATTTGTGTGTTAGACTTTTCAGAGTCTAGAGCCGTGGTTGGCAAACTGCAGCTCGTGAGCCACATGCGGCTCTTTGGTCCCTTGAGTGTGGCTCTTCCTAAGCCTTAGGAGTACCCTAATTAAGTTAATAACAGTGTACCTACCTATATAGTTTAAGTTTAAAAAATTTGGCTCTCAAAAGAAATTTCAATCGTTGTACTGTTGATATTTGGCTCTGTTGACTAATGAGTTTGCCGACCACTGGTCTAGAAGATAACAGCGAGAAGCTTCTAGTATCCAATCTTAATGGATTAAATTTGAACTGAGTGTGTTCAGGGCTTTTTCTCCTGGAGGAGTTTACTCAAGTAGAGTTTGATTAGAAAGAGACCTGATTAATACAGGCTTGACTGTTGATATTAAACAGATTGGTGTGCAGCTCCTTTGAGAATGTAATTGAGGCCCAAGAAGAGTTAGACCAGGTTACCTGTCTTGCTTATTACCATCTGGTCAGAGGGTCAGTTCTTTGAATAAATAGAAAATGGTGCAATTTTTGCCTTTTAGTAAAGCTCGGTAGTTACTAGAATTAACATACTGTTGAATATTTAATAACCAAGGTTGAATCTAGAACCTTAGAAAGCATTTGCAGTACTATTCAACTAGAAGTGAGTAAGCATCGTATTTTCATCATTAAAACTAACGGGGGTGACTACAGTTCTTGGTTTTCTTGACTGTGTAAAATGAGGGAATTAGAACAAAATGTGGCCCGGCCTGTGTGGTTCAGTGGTTGAGCATTGACCTATGAACCAGGAGGTCACGGTTCGATTTCCCAGTCATATTTTGTTTTCATATTTTTCTAGTCACAAATATTTTTGTAGGCTCCTAAAAAGAGCCTACAGCCTTGATAATATGTTCTTAGATCCCATACAGTAAGCAGACTCTATGTTGCAGGGTCTATCCCCACTGGGGGGCATGCAGGAAGCAGCCGATCATCATTGATGTTTCTATCTCTATCTCCCTCTCCCTTCCTCTTTAAAATCAATTTTTAAAATTTTTTTAAGAGAGAACTAATGTGGTGTCCAGAGGATGTGAGGACTGGTAGAGCAAAAATTTATAAGCATTGTGTACCTACAATGCTGAGTTTCAAGGATTCCAACACTGTCTCAAGTATCTCAGCAGCTGCTTTGCTTACAAGTACCTTGTCTTCATTAGGATGTTCAACATGAAACAGCCAAATTTAAATATCCTGGAGAAAAACCCAGAGCTGGTCAATTTTTCCTTAAGGGAATTCTTTTGACTCTTTTTGAGGTGTTGTATTGAAGCATCCTGAGCCAATCCAGTTTCTGAACGTGACTACAGGGGAGTGCCCATCTCCTCTTTATCATTGGTCTCAGCATATTTCTCAAAAGGAATAGGCTTACAAGACTTCCATGTAAGTGGATCTTCAACAAAGATTCCTGCCAGGGAGATCTGGGTTTCCTCAGTGTTCATGTGGCATTTGGGAGACTCTAAAGAAATTGGCTGTCAATGGTCACTTGATTCCCCAGTGTGAGTCTTAAGCAGCAGTAATGTGTAAGGTAGGAGGACAAGGTAAAGAGCTATGGAGGGGCATCTTTGTGGTGACTAGAATTTTCTATTCTTGAAACTTTATCCTCCTGGACTGTATAAAAATGCATGTAGTATTAAGACTGAATGACTCTGGAGGTGGCGGTCAGTTGGGGAAAAAGACATGTAAAACTTTAGACAATAAAAAAATTATTTTAAAAAAAAGACTGAATGGCTCTTATCAGGAAATATGTGAAAAGATTTGCAGATGACACTTGACTCAGTTCTTCCCTCTTGTGAAGGAAAAAGAATGAGCCTATTTTTGCATCCATTACCAGAGTTGTACATTTTCCCCTTGGAGCCATTAACTATATCAGAGACTTCCAGTACAGTAGGAAGAGCACTGGACTGGGAGCTTTATCTGCATCATCTTGAACAAGTTACTATTTCATTTTTTTGAGCTTTATTCATCTCAAACATAATGTTAAGTAACTGGTAGGTGCCTTCGGTCTGAAGTTACAAAAATGGCTCTTGGGAGTTCACAATCTAGTGAGAAAGACAGACCAGCAATTCTAAAATGATGTGGTAACTGCTCTGGTAGAGAAAATAAACATGGTGCCATGGAAAAAGAAGAGGGACTGGGAGGTGGCATCAAGAGAAAGTTTTTCAAAAGAGGTAATGTTTTAGATTGTCTTGTAAGAGTGGGTTAAAGTCCCTCAGGTAGACAAGAAAAGGGCATTAAGTTTAACTAGAGGCCCGGTGCATGACTTTGTGCATGGGTGGGGTCTGGCCCACCCGCCTTATCTGGGTGGAAGGGTGATAGGGGGTGGGGCGGGGCCGGCCGTCCCCACCCGCTGGTCAAACTCCCAGTTGAGGGGACAATTTGCATATTAGCCTTTTATTATATAGGACTAGAGGCCTGGTGGACAAAAATTTGGGCACTCGGCAAGGGGGGTGGTCCCTCAGCCCGGCCTGTGCCCTCTCGCAGTCTGGGACCCCCTCAGGGGATGACCACCTGCTGGCTTAGGCCCACTCCCCGGGGGATTGGGCCTAAGCTGGCAGTCAGACATCCCTCTGGCAGCCCAGGAGCCCTCGGGGGATGTCCACTTGCCAGCGGGGAGCAGGCCTAAGCTGCAGTCGGACATCCTTAGCGCTGCTGAGGAGGTGGGAGAGGCTCCCACCACCACCGCTGTACTGGCAGCTGTCAGCCTGGCTTGTGGCTGAGCAGAGCGCCCCCCGTGAGAGCGCACTGACCACCAGGGGGCAGCTCCTGCATTGAGCATCTGCCCCCTGGTGGTCAGTGTGTGTGATAGTGACCAGTCATTCCAAGTCGTTCTGCTGTTAGGGTCAATTTGCATATTACCCTTTTATTATATAGGAGTGCCTGGCCAGCCTGGGTGAGGGGCTGATGGCTGTTTGCAGGCTGGCCACAGCCCCTCAGTATGGGGGTCCCCACTGGGGTGCCTGGCCAGCCTGGGTGAAGGGCTGATGGCCGTTTGCAGGCTAGCCACAGCCCCTTCAGGGTGGGGGGTCCTGCTGGGGTGCCTGGCCAGTCTGGGTGAGGGGCTGAGGGCCGTTTTCAGGCTGGCTGGGAGCAGCTATCTGGGGTTTATTTAGCTTCTGTAATTGAAACTTTGTTGCCTTTAGCGGAGGCCACAGCCAGCTCAGGGCTGGCAGGAAGCTTGGCTTCCTCCATCGCCCAGGCAACCAAGCCTCCTGCTTGCTCCAGCTCCGTGGCTGCCGGCCGCCATCTTGGTTGGGTTAATTTGAATATAGTCACTCTGATTGGCTGGTGGGCATGGCTTAGGGCATAGTGAAGGTACGGTCAATTAGCATCTTTGTCTTTTATTAGTGTAGATGATTCAAAGCCTACATTCTGAATTCACATCTGGAGTCTGCCACTTACTAGCTCTATGTCTCCTTACTTCAGGGTTGTTTTGAAGATTAAACTGATAAATTTATATAAAGCTTATTATATAATGCCTAATACATACAGCTTAATTTATGGTTAGTGGCTTTTATTATTCTAGGAAGAGGAAACTATTTGCAAGAATGGATATGTAACAGTATGCCAGAATCTGAACTACAAGTTGTTCAGCCTGGCTTGAAAGGAGGTTATACTTAGGATGGAAGTGATGATCTGGAGAGTTAGGCAAGGACCACATCAACAAGAGCTATGATCTATAATAATAAAAGCGTAATATGCAAATCGACCAAACGACCCAACAGTAGAACGACCATCCAGACCGCCTTCCAGATGACCACGCTATGACACGCACTGGCACCAGGCCAGCCAAGGCGGGTGCGATGCGATTGGTCAGGGGGCCCCGCCATCCCCTCACAGAGGGAGGCCCAGGCCACTGGCCAGCAACGCTGTGGCGGGTATGCAGGGCCGGCCAGTGATCGCCCTGCAGAGGGAGGCCCAGGCCAGCCAAGCGATCGCACCCCACACCTGTTGCCCACAGAGGGCAGCGACCAGTGGTGGGGGAGGGAGGACAGCACCGCACAGATGGCAAGCAGTGGCAGCGGCAGGGGTGGGACTAGCTGCCTGCATCCGGGGGAAGGAAAGCCCGATAGGCCCTGATCGCTGGCCAGGCCTAGGGACCCTACCCAAGAGGTGTCCCGGTTGCGGGAGGACGCAGGCTGGGCTGAGGGACACCCCCATCTCCCCCCGACCACCCCCCCACACACACACTCCATCCCCCTGTGCACTAATTTCGTGCACCGGGCCTCTAGTGCAATGATGGCGAACCTATGTCAGAGGTGACATGCAAACTCATTTTTTTGGTTGATTTTTCTTTGTTAAATTGTTAAATGGCATTTAAATATGTAAAATAAATATCAAAAATATAAGTCTTTGTTTTACTATGGTTGCAGATATCAAAAAATTTCTATATGTGACACGGCACCAGAGTTAAGTTAGGGTTTTTCAAAATGCTGACACGCCGAGCTCAAAAGGTTCGCCATCACTGCTCTAGTGTTTTAATAAAGATAAGGTACTTTCCTCAAAGAGGTAACAGGCAGGGTGCCATTCGACTTCAGAGAATGAATGATCTCTGATATTTCATCTGGGCTTTCAAATTTGTTCTTAGCATTCAAGGCTCGTGAGCTAGAAGACTTCCCAGCAAAAGTTGGAAATGTTACACAACAATCCTATTATCTTTCATTTGCAGGATATGATGGATGATATCTGTCAGGAGCAGTTTCTAGAGCTGTCCTATTTGAATGGAGTACCAGAGCCCTCTCGAGGACGTGGGGTGCCAGTGAGAGGCAGGGGTGCTGCCCCTCCTCCTCCACCTGTCCCCAGGTAAAAATAATGTAAACAACCAGAAGTAGGATGTAAATTTGACCGCTAGTACCATCTCTCTCTCTTTTTGGTGCTCTTACCTCCAGCTTAGAAGGAGTCATATCCTTCATTGAGTGGAATTCTAGCTCTTGAGCATTTTGGCCATAGTCAAGGGTAGCAGTCCTTCTGAAACTTTTGGTCTTTTAATTTTGGACAGTTATCGCATTTTTACTTTTTTAATATGTTTTTATTGAGAGAGGGAGAGAGAGATAGAAACATCAATGATGAGAGAGAATCATTGATCTGTTGCCTCCTGAATGCCCCCACTGGGGGGTCGAGCCTGCAACCCAGGCATGTGCCCTGACCGGGAATTGAACCATGACCTCCTAGTTTTCATAGGTCGACGCTCAACTATTGAGTCATGCCAGTCGGGCCAGTTATAGCATTTTTAAATGATCACTGACTTTAGCATTTTACCTTTTGTTACTGATCTTTATGGAGTGTTCTGACTCAGCAGTTTATTGTGGGACCTGGGGAATCTTCCATTGTGGGGTTTTTACCTATCCATACTTTCCTCTAGGTTTTAATAATAGTTTTTTTAAAGCATCATAAAATCTGGCTAGTTCCAGAATTTGCACACAAATCTGACCATTTAAGTAGCCTATTTATTACAAAACCTCTTTCAATAATAAAGACAAATTATAAAAAAGAAAGTAACTAAAAAAAATAATCTCCATTTAAAATAAACTTTCTTAGATGATGTGTTATGGAATCATGCACCTAAAACTTGTATAATTTTGTTAACTAGTGTCACCCCAATAAATTCAATTAAAAGGGGGGAAACTTTCTTTTTATAGGGGCCGTGGTGTTGTACCACCTCGTGGGGCTTTGGTGCGTGGTACGCCAGTGAGAGGAGCCATCACCAGAGGTGCCACCGTGACTCGAGGAGTGCCACCCCCACCTACTGTGAGGGGTGCTCCAACACCAAGGGCACGGACAGCAGGCATCCAGAGAATACCTTTGCCTCCACCCCCTGCACCAGAAACATATGAAGATTATGTAAGAAGTTTGAACAATGTGCCATTTCCCACTACCTAGAAGGTTGCCAAAGGAAGTTGAATGACAGGGCCTTGGTCCTTGATGTAGGTGGCAGGGATTGCCTGTAAGATTCAGAATCTGCTCTTTTCTCTTTCAGTGAATGTTAACCTAGGAGAAGATTTTTCCATTTTAAGCATGGTTTGCTACCATATGTATGTAGATTAAACAGGAAATAAGCTGTGCCTCGATGTATAGTATTTTACTAAAGGGGTCTCCCACTACTACCAGTTCAACTTTGTACCTTATTTCCTGCTCACACTTGGTTTTTGTTTTTGTTTCTTTTTTGTTCGTTTGGTTGTTTTGTTTCATGTTTTAAAAATAACCCTTTCTCTCTTGACTATTTCACAATGGGTGTTAACATTTGGGAGGGAAAGTTCATGTTCTGTTAATGTAGAAGCCTGCCATCCTCCCATGGGATATAATTACCATCTCTACTCTCTGTGATTCTGACTTGTTATTTCATTTCATTTGTTCTAGGGATATGATGATACATATGCAGAGCAGAGTTATGAAGGCTACGAAGGCTATTACAGCCAGAGCCAAGGGTAAGTCAGGCGATAGAGGTGCTGTTTCTTGTCCTGGGGATGGATGGCAGGGCGGGGGTTGGGGGGAGTGGAAGGGACAGAGATTTAGGCAACACAAATCTAAGGAGCAGTATGGCTTACCTTTTGAGGGTATCTACTATGCTTTGGACATCTGTAAGTTTGGATAATTGTGAATCTTGAATTATATTGTAGAATCTGAGAATAGAAAAATTCCTGAGCTGTGACTACATGGAAACAAAGGAGAAATGCCTTTAAATTATTTGATTTATTTTTAAAAAATATCACAGTCACAGTAAAATTGTATAAAAGTTTAAAACGAAACTAGAATTCCACTGCAATAGTTTGGGTTCTTTTCTGCACTTTTCTTTTTCTTTTTTTTTCTTTAAGATTTTTTATGGAATTTGAGAGAGAGAAACATCCATGTGAGGGCAAAACATTAATCACCTGCCTCCTGCACACCCCCTACCCAGGATCAAGCCTGCAACCCAAGGATGTGCCCTGACCAGGAAGCAAACTGGCAACTGAGCCACACTGGGCAGGGCTGCGCTTTTCTTTAAAAACATTTTTTGTGTATATGTATTTTATCTGTGATTGATTGAAAAGATGTCTTATAATTCTACATGGGGGACAAGATAGTTCTCATGTTTGTTTATTCTCTTCCAGTGAGCACTGTGGTCAATTTTATATTGTGCTTTTCCACTTTAAATTGTGTGGTATCCATTTTTCTTTGCTACAGTTGTTACCCATTTTCTTATGAGTACATAGTTATACATATGTTGGTAATGTTTTATGGTTTGAAGATGGGGGGTGAGCATTTTCCTTTATTATACACACAGTAAAATGACTGAAACATGGAAGTATTTGGGAGAAAGGTGAAACTGAAACATAGTTGCTGTATGGCTCTCTAACACTCTGTCTTTGGCTTTTAGGGACTCAGAATATTATGACTATGGACATGGGGAGGTTCAAGATTCTTATGAAGCATATGGTATGTCTTTATTTCTGTGTTGGGGCAGAATGTGCAAGTAAGTGCCTGAGAGAATACTGGATTATTGAGGATCAGACAGTCACACACCTGAGGAGAACCCTTTAAAGGCCAAGTTGTTGGTAGATGTAACAATAGGAATCCTACTATTAACTTAAATTTTGTGGTGTGCGGTAGAGATAGGGGTACTATTACTCTTGGAAGGCTATGAAAATGTCCTAAACTAGGGCTCAGCAAACTAGTTTGCCTGGTTGGGACAGCAAACTTTTTTTTTAAATCCTCACCTGAGGATGTTTTTTCTATTACTTTTTAGAGATAGTGGAAGGGGAGGTATGGTGAGAGGGAGGGAGAGAGAGAGAGAAACATCAATATGAGAGATACATCGATTGACTGCCTCCCACACTCACCCCGACCAGGGGTAGGGAGGGAATCGCGCCCCAGGCCCCAGGCCCTTGGACCGGAATGGAACCTGCGACCCTTTGGTGCACATACCAGTGCTCTAACCTCTTTGCAACACCAGCCAGGGCTGGAGCAATAAACTTTTAAGCTGATGTTGATTTTTTTTCCTACTTTAGGCGAGGAGATGGCTAGACCTAGGGTATGTTGCTGGGCCTTTGCTGCTGATACCTAGACCACATTGATAGATAATAAGAATTTCATTATATCCAATTCTGCTCTTCTGCCCTACCTCACTTTTAAAAACAATTTTGTATCTCATCGAACAGAATCCCAATGTAGAGGAAAGAATAGCTGAAAGAGACCGAGATTGCAAGTACCTAGCCAGAGCAAATTGGGGCAAGAATAACACCTGTTAGACTCAGATTAGAGATAGTGGGGCTGGAGCCAATTCAGGGCAGTACTGGCGTCAAGATCCTTACTGTTTTGGAGACATCTCAACTCCTAAGAGAGCTATAGGGGCTGGAATGGCTGCATAACCAAACTGTATTCCCCGAGGTTTAGTTGAAAATGCATTGCTCAAGAGTGTCTCAAGAGCCAATAAAGGCCTCATGTTAATGGGCGCCAGAGGGAGTGCCATGTGGTCACAGATGCAGAGAGGGAGCAGCCTTTTAAATGTGAAATATTTTAAACATACCTAAAGGAATTCTAGAATCCTTGGCAAGAGGTTCAGCAGTTGACAGGTCTTCTTAAGATACTAGTTGACAATCTCCCTCTTCCCCTAGCTGAAAAAGGGGAGCCTCTTAAGGCCTCCCACAAATGGACAAGCTGAGCTCAACGACTCAGCACGGTATGTAGTAACCACTGAGCTACTTGCCCAGGGAAGCAGTTTTTACTAATTCTAGCTAAATGGCATTGGACTGTTGCCATCAGTAACTGTTCTATTCATATGCCACTATTTAGAAGAGCGGTATGATTGCCCTGGGGTAGTTCCCTCCCTTCAGTGAGGCAGCACAATGGGCCTCTGTATGTGTTGACTATATTGCATTTCTGTTTTGCTGGATAAAAGACTGGACTGAAAGAGGCAGACTGCTCCTTATGCCCCTGGTATGATGTTACCATGGTAATCTGTTCTGATTTCTGCCTTTATAAAGAGAATTAGAAAAAATAAACTATCTTGTTGGTACCCAGAAACAATTTGGAAAGTGATGGACATATCTATTATACTAGGCATAGAAACAGGCTTAGATAGGGTGCTGTGTGACTTTAGATCCATATAAGGGATTTTTTAATATATATTTTTTGGGGGGGAGGGGGAATTTCGGTTTCTCCCCCTTATCATCAAGACTCGCTGCTTCCCATCATCAATATTTATTGAGCATTTACAGTGTACTAGGCACAATAGAACATACAAGAAACCATTGTCCCTGCTCTTGAGGAGCTTACATTCTAAAAGAAAAAAATACACCTCTTTCAAAATGGTATTTTTATTTGGTGTTTTTGCAAGGGACTTAGGGATATATTTTTAATTGATTTCATAGAGGAAGGGAGAGGGAGAGAGAGATAGAAACAGCAAGAATGAAAGAGAATCATTGATTGGCTGCCTCCTGCACGTCCCCTACTGAGGCTTGAGCCCGCAACCTGGGCATGTGCCCTTGACCGGAATCAAACCCAGGACCCTTCAGTCTGCAGGCCAACCCTCTCCTCTATCCACTGAGCCAAACCGGCTAGGGAATTATAGGGGATTTTATTTTTTATTATATTTTTTTTTTAATATTTTTTATTTCAGAGAGAGAGAGAGAGAAACATCAATGATAAGAGAGAAACATTGATCGGCTGACTCCTGCATGCCCCCCAATGGGAACCGAGCCCACAACCTGAGCATGTGCCCTGACTAGGAATTGAACCGTGACCTCCTGGTTCATAGGTCGATGCTCAACCACTGAGCCATATAGGGGATTTTAAACCTATAGTGATGGAGGCAGATGTTTGTGAATGCAGGCAGCTGGAGAAATACTTCAGGAATGAACTGGCATGGGTAAAATATAGCAGTGAATGTGAAGAATAAGTTTATAAACACAACTCATTTTTATGAGAGGTCAGCTCTAGAAATAAGTGATCCTCTTCCTCACATTTTTCCATATCACAAAGGAAAACCATTTGAAGATGTCACCTATGTTGTCTGGCTTCTCTGGACGGGCTTCTCTGGACTACTGGCATCAGGGCAGAAATAATGAATTCTCCTAATTAGTGCTCTAAATACGATTGTACTTTGCTCTACCAGAGCAGTGGGCCGCAGCTCTGCTGGTGGGGAGCCTCATGAAAAGTGGTCCTTGCTTGCTTCTCCCAGAGAGCCAGAGGACGCTTCTCCATGAGGAAACCTGGCTTTCTGTTGTATGAAAAGGGAGCTACCTGCTTCACCTTACCTGAGGCTGTCTGGTTGCTTTGGGAACAGGATATTGCAAACCCATTGAGATTGATTTCCTCACTGTCTCAGCAAGTGTTGGGTTTATCCAGGTTTGGGGACTGGAGTATAAATCATGTTTCCTGTGGAGACCCTCTTTGCTGGAGATTATTCCAAGCCCTGTTTGGGCTGTTTCCTTGTGCCTGTCCACTCAAAACTGCCCTCCACTTGGGAAATTGCCTAAGCTGCTCAGGAGGGCCAAGTAGAGGGAAAAGCAAGGACCACTGGGTAGGTAGCAAAGCAGTGTTTCTTTGCCAGGTGACTTACCCGTGCGCATCCTCAGATGCCATTGACACATGGTTTATAAACTGTTCTTGCTTTCCCCATAGGCCAAGACGACTGGAATGGGACCAGGCCGTCGCTGAAGGCCCCTCCAGCTAGGCCGGTGAAGGGAGCATACAGAGAGCACCCATATGGACGTTATTAAAAACAAACATGAGGGGAAAATATCAGTTATGAGCAAAGTTGTTACTGATTTCTTGTATCTCCCAGGATTCCTGTTGCTTTACCCACAACAGACAAGTAATTGTCTAAGTGTTTTTCTTCGTGGTCCCCTTCTTCTCCCCACCTTACTCCATTCTTAACTCTGCATTCTGGCTTCTGTATGTAGTATTTTAAAATGAGTTAAAATAGATTTAGGAATATCGAATTAATTTTTTTAAGTGTGTAGATGCTTTTTTTTCTTTGTTGTTTAAATATAAACAGAAATGTACCTTTTATAATAAAAAAAAGAAGTTGAGTAAAAAAAAACACCACAAACCTGTTAGTTTCAAAAGTGACATTGCTTGCTTAAAGGTTCTGAAGTTAAGGCTTGTTAACTTTATCTTAGTTTTGATTTGAGGCATCCCGTATAGCTGTAGTTGCAGAATCCCAAACTAGGCTACATTTCAAAATTCAGGGCTGTTTAAGATTTAAAATCACAAACGTTAACGGCAATAGGTGCCACCATGTAAAAGTGAGCTCAGACGTCACTAAAAATGTTTCCTTTAAAAGCACATGGCGGTTGAATCTTAAGGTTAAATTTTAATATGAAAGATCCTCATGAATTAAATAGTTGATGCAATTTTAACATTAATTGACTTAAAAAACAACAACAAGATTAGGTTTGTAAAAATGACTTTTTCATTATGTGGGTTTTGAAATCTAGCCCCAGACATACAGTGTTGAGAGATACTTAGTGGAAAGTAGGCTTTGAAGAGTTTAATTGGGGGAGAGGGGTTTGCCACCTGAATTGAATCCGATGCAGAGCTTTTTAGCCACAGTCTTTAAATAATAGTACTAATAATTAAACTTTCAGTATTTAAAAAGAAAGTGTTTTGTCCATCTGAGATTCTACACTCCATGAAAAGCTCACTTGGACACTGGGGCCAAAAGCTGATAATTTTTTAAGTTTGACAATATTGAACTGTTCCCAAGGTAGTCAGTGAAGTATGTCTCAACACTAGCATGATATAAAAAGGGACACTGCAGCTGAATGAAAAAGGAATCAAAATCCACTTTGTACATAAGTTAAAGTCCTAATTGGATTTGTACCATCCTCCCATTTTGTTCTTGGAAGATTAAATGCTACATGTGTAAGTCTGCCTAAATAGGTAGCTTAAACTTATGTCAAAATGTCTGAAGCAGTTTGTCAATAAAGTTTAGTCCTTTTTTAATCAAAGTAAATGTGATGAATTGTCATTTTTGTGGGTGGACAATAAAATAGTTTTCTCTTTCAAATAAACTTAAATTAATTATAAAGTTAATGGTCTTGTTAAAAGTTGGAGCTTGGAGACATTCTTAAAAGTTGTGGTGGGGATTTTATTTTAAGTTTACCAAAAAAAGTTTATGAGTTGTTAAGTTTTAGTTTAAAAATAACCAAAGCTTTTTCACCCCCTGGAAGTTGTTGAAAACAGTTTAATCTAATTTCTGGAGAGAAAAAAACAACTAAACGAAAGCTTGGATTGGTTTCCATACAGAGGTGTCAATATTTAAAGTGCCAGCCACCTTGTTCGCATCTTCTATAGAGTCCCTTGGTGGTCCTAAGAGTGACACCAAATAATCTCTGTGAGATTGGAAAGGGATAGCACCTGCTTTCGAGATGACAGTTCAGCAAACTCTGGGTACACTTAAGGGTTTCCCTTCTAATCCCAGAAATGCTATTAATCAGCTGGGCTGGGGCAGGATCTGGCATGATAGGCTGGCTCTGTACTCCCTCCTGAGAGATCAAGAGGAAATGATGGAATTGGTTGGCCCTGTTTCTACTCCTCTGTTAATTTTTAGGGTTTGCATGCCTTCTCTAAGTGAGCCACCTAAAACTGCTCGGGGGTGAAAAATCCTCTTGTATGAAGTGCCAAGCTGCCTGCAGCAGTGCATGATGGACATTTTTTTTCTTTTTAAAACACACCAACAAAAAATGTATTTGTAGATTGTGATAAAGTGTAAATAACTGAATTTTCAACCATGGTTTGAAGTCAGCTTTCAGGGCATTATGTCTTGTTTTGATGAAAAGAGATCACTCTATACCCCCCTTTTTAAAGGAAAATTATCGCAAGAGAATCAGGATGTGTAAAGCTAACATGCATCGCAAAAAACCAAAGGTAACCTAAATGTCTGATTTTAATAGCACATATTTCTCTTTTACATAAACTGTGACAGCAACTTGCATAAACAATTCTTTAGCTGTTAATTTTAATGTTAAAACTTTGAAAAACTTGTTTAATAAAAATAGCTGTAAAAAGAAAAACCATATGCTGCCGCATAAATTAGCCATAACTCTTAATAATCCTGCCCATCACAAGTGAACTGTAATGTAACCTGGGCACAAAGTCTGACATCTTAAATGACACAATGTAAAATTTCAATGACTGTAGATTAGATATGCTCCCCAAAGTAAAGCTTTCTGCTCAGCTATTTTAAAATGTACAAGGATGACCCCCCATAGGTTCCCATATTGATATTCACAATGAAATGTTACTTAAAATTTCCTTAAAGTTGCATGTTTCTCTCCTGTAATGTATAAATTGCATGCAGGATCTCTATCTTTTATTTTGTATGTCTTTAAACCTTCCTCTTCAAAAGACTGATCTCTTACTTCTCCATTTTCAGGTCATTGAAAACTCAAGACATTTCCTGGAGTAGAATGGGTATTAAAGACCCATGTCAGGTATGTTAAGGTGTCTTTCTATTAGGATGTGGGACTTTTATCTATATAAAAGGCTAATATACTAAGTGTCTGACCATCCAATAAGTCGCTATGACGCTGACCACTGAGGGGCAAACGCTCAACACAGGAGCTGCCATGATGCACACTGGCTATTTACAGAGAAACAGCACTACGGACCTGGCACCCACAAAGCAACACTCGGCTTCCCCCACATGGGACACAGGCCCCACCACCACCCCAGTGCGACAGCCCACCAAATCTCAGCTGACGCTGCCGAGACCCCATGGCGCAAAATGCAGCCGGCTTCCTCTCCCTAGCGACAGGCCATTTAACAATAAATAGTACCACGAACCTGGCAGCCACAAAGCAACACTCGGCTTCCCCCAAGTGGGGCACAGGCCCTGCCACCACCCCAGAGCGACACGCCACCAAGTCACAGCCAACGCTGCTGAGACCCCATGGCTCAAAATGCAGCCCACAGCCCAGCCCAGCCAGGAAATGGTGCCTATGGGTGCCAGTCATAGCAACGCCCGGCTTCCTCTCCCTAGTGACTAGTCTCCTTGAAGTTTCTTCAGCCCAGGAACATGACTTGCTTTATAGCCAGGTAGAAACATTTTACACTTTAACCAAATGTCTGTGAATTGTTTTCCCGTGCCTCATCTCATTTGATCCTCACAGAAGTCCTGGAGTAGGTAGATAGAAGACTTGGTGGAATCCTATTTTCATTAGCCAGAAAATGGAGATTTAGAAAGTTTAGAAACTTGCCCCCACTGAAAAGAAGAAATGGTGGACCTTGAAAATGACTTCAGGTTTTCTCACTGCTCAGAATATAGTCAAACACTGCTGCAGTTAAGTATTTTACTCTTTGTTCTCCCTGAGTGATCTACAGTAATAGTCTGCTTCATGTTGATATTTCCAGCCAGTTCTAAACCAGTGCTCAAAGAGAAGTTGGGGTGGTTCACTGGGTTGGAAGAAGTTTAGCTAAATCAGAAAGCAGGTCTAATTAAGCAAGTTTATTCTATATCTATAAAAGGATATGTTGATTCACACATGGGTGGTACATATAAAGCTCTCGTTGGTGCTGATCGCACACATGTGTTTCAATCTGTCATTGTCGTGAATTTGGTTGACACTTCTATTATAGAGAAAGGGCAAACAGCGATATTAAAATATTTCTTCTAATTAATTTCAATGTGCATGAATTCGTGCACCAGGCCACTAGACTATATATATAAAAGCCTAAGCAACCGTTCAACCGTTTGACCGGTAGCTATGATGCACACTGACCACCAGGGGGGCAGACACTCAACACACAGGCATGGAAACATGGAACAGACTGATGAATCTTAGAGGGAAGTGGGGAGAGCAAGACAAGATTAACTAAAGATCTTATCTGAATACTAGAGGCCTAGTGCACACATTCATGCACCAGTGGGGTCCCACAGACTGGCCTGTGGAGATTGGGTTGAAACCAGCAGTCCGACAACCCCCAAGGGGTCCCAGATTGCAAGAGTGTGCAGCCCAGGCCAAGGGACCCCACCAGTGCACAAATGAAGAAACACATTTCCCCCAAAGTCCGTTCTTAAGACTACCCTAGGCAGAACTGAGACACTTTTCTGAATTCAGGGACTTTATCTTAAATTTATCTACCCATTCATGTGACCAATATCATATTCAGGACTTTCTGGATGCCCCAAACCATGCTCAAGACAAATGGCCTTCCTTAAAGTCTTCAAATCTCAGAGGCTCCTGGCTAAGAGGGAGGCTAAGAAATGATATCCAAGAAGGCAAATTACTCTGTCAAAGACTATAAAGTGCCTTTGGCTTAAATAGGTAGATCTTGTCTCCTTAGTGCTATCAGAACCCTAACTTACTCAGGGCGGAGGGGGAAAAATCATCCAGTTAGTTCCTGGGTGGCTTTAAACACATCCTTTTGTGCCTCTTGCATGTTTGAAACTAGTACTAGCAAGCATCTGATGAATATTTAATAGCCTTGAGCACACAGGCTGCATACAGCTGTCTTGAGATGGCAGCTGTTGGGGGGAGGGGAGGAAGTGTACTGCACTGCCTAACTATTTCTTTTGTTCCCTGGCCTAGCCCTTTAGAAGCAAAGGCCTATCTATGGTGGGTACTGTACCCTAGTCCTATTGTGGCCTGATTGATGCCCTGGGCTCCCAAGGAGGTTATATTCAAGCAGCAGACCAAACCCCCTTTTTGGGTAATGGGAGCGGATTATGTTCACTGACATCTAGAATCAATTTTTCAACCCTGGGCTGGAGGTTTTCTACTCTGTGGCCTTTCTCTTCCTCTGAGACAGATAATGTGTTTTCATCCAGTGTTCTGCCAACTTCAGTTCTCTTTTCTAAAAGGAGGGAGTTCTAAAAGGAGGGAGACTTGTATCTGGAAGGGACTTGAATTTCATAATCATGCTGCTGGGTTTTAGCCTCTTAGCATTCCTTGACTACAAATGCAGTAGTAGCCTCTCAGCAGTAGGTGTCCTACTCATTCCTAGCCTAAGCTGTGGCGATTGGCTGCATCTCAGGCAGGCATTAGGCAGGGGAGTTCTCAGGCAGGTACTCAAGCTATCTTTGTGCTTCCTTCACCTAGACCTAGGGGAGATTTTTTTTTTTAATATGTTTTTATTGATTTCAGAGAGGAAGGAAGAGGGAGAAAAAGATAGAAACATCCATGATGAGAGAGAATCATGGATCGGCTGCCTCTTGCAAGTCCCCCACTGGGGATCGAGCCCACAACCTGGGCATGTGCCCTTGACCGGAATTGAACCTGGAACCTTTCAGTTCGCAGGCCGACACTCTATCCACTGAGCTAAACCAGTTAGGGCAAGGGGAGCTTTTTGCTTTAAGAAGACCTTGCTGTTTCCAGGGCAAATTTGGAGAGGTTATGGGGACTCCTGAAAAAAGACAGCCTGTTTGAGTTGTTTCTTGGCAGAGTGTGAGCCATGGCCAGGGTATCGCCCCAGATTAATCAGGTAAGTAGAGCACACTACCAGGAACTTGGGCACTGTTTCTGTTTATACTGTTTTAAGATGCCTGAATTAGCTGTTCCCTTGTCAACCTCTAGAGCCCACCTCAGGATAGCCGGTCTCTTCCCGCTAGGCACCATGAGTAAGAACTTGAGATCAAAGTATTTGGATCCAGCCCTGACTAGTATGGCTCAGTTGGAGCATTGTTCCGTACACTGAAAGGTTGCAGTTCAGATACAGGACCAAGTCTTCTCTGGGGTCTTCTGAATCCTGCAGGCTTCATACTTTCTATTCATGGTCCAGCTTTAGCTATCAAATGGGTACTACCCATTTCTCAGGCTCTCTGGGGTTGGAAAATAGGAAACAAATTGCATCAGCCTTTGAGAAAGAAATACCTATGCTCTGATAAGATTCTTCATAAACTTCTGTCCAGATATCAGTACACATGGCTCCTTTTATTCATTAAAAGTCTAAGTGACGGTTAACAGCTAAACGATCAGAATGACTGGTTGCTATGATGTGCACTGCCCAC